ACATGTGTAAGGGAACCTATATATATATATATATATAAACCATTGTTCAATTTTGTTGTTTTATATAAAATAGGAGGCATTTTGCGTTTTTTGCCTCTGTCCCTAGGCCAGACTTTGGGTCTTCAACCTTATCTCACTTAAAATCTAATACTGATATTATTTTAAATTCAAACAGAAGGTATGCATTATAACCAAATTCATTCAAATCTAATATTTTTTATATATATTTATTTTCAATTTGACATATTTTAAACTTGTTGAACACTTGTCCCTTGGGTTCACTGTCATTTCCACACCTCTGCATTAAATGCAATTTGCAAAATGTCATTTCCACAACCGTCTTTTCCACATCTGTCTCCATGGAAGTGATAAAGACAGTTGGCTTGTCAAGGACATTGTATGTGCTTTAAAAGCAAAGTAGTTTGCCTATAGCGCTAAAAATAGAGTGTATAAACACAAAAATTACATATAATGTCATGAGAATGTTTTAAATTGAGATATTTTATTGTTGTACGAAACACCACATGATGTTGGATCCATTAGTGTGGGAGGAAGTAGTACTCACCGATATTGACTGCGAGTGAACCTTGGATACAAAATTGGTGATTTTAAATTCAAACAGAAAGAATGAATAATAGCCCAAATCAATCAAATCTAATATAGTTTCTTGTATTTCTTTTCAATTTGGCATATTTTAAACATGTTGAACATGTTCACTTGTTCATCTGTGAGTGAACCTCTGGTGGTGAAACATGTCACATTTTCACAGAAATTTTCATTTGGATTTTTTTTATGAAAACACAAGGAAAATGATTGTGTTTATGATATTGTTTTTGTTTTAAATAATTTGTCACACATGGAATGAGTTATCTTTTTTATTAAGTGCTGTTAGGCCAGTTGTTCATCAATACACCATCCCTGTTTGAAATTAAAATAAGAATAAACTTCAAACTTGAATTTGAGATTCATTTTGTACACATTGAGGTCATGACTCACTTTTGCATTTCCATAATGCATTTATGATTCTACTACAGGTTCTATATCTGAAATGTTATTTTCACCATAACCCACCTTTCCCTTGTAATTTCCACAACCACAAATATTTTTTTGGTAAAACATAAAAAAAAACCAATTAAGGTAATGATGATGGTCGTGTTGATAATTTAGCAGTTAAGGGTAAAGTATATGTATGAGTTGAAAAATATCAGATTTGAAAATATCATAAAATTCAGAAATATGAATGAAAGGTTTCAGTGACTTAGTGTTCAGCGTTTTTTTTTTTTTTTTTTTTGGTGTTAACTTTGTAAAATCTTAACCGTTGCATTTCAGAGAAATAAATGAATTTACAATTTGGAAACATGCAAGTGTGATGTGTGACCCAATATATTTATAACTACAAATATTTCAACATATTTGGTTGAAAACACATGTTTTTGTTCGGTTGTGGAAATGACAATTTATTTTGCGATGTCTGAAAAACTAAAAAAACTAAACAAAACAAAAAAAAAACATATTATTTCATAAAAATCAGCACAACCAACTTCAGGGCAGGTAACTACACTGGGGGAACAAATTATGCCAGTAATATTTTAATTAAAAATGTTTCATTTTCTGAAAATGTCCAGGTCTAAAAAGTACCATTGTGGAGAATCACCCACCATGACATAATAATAAAAAAGAACATTTTTTACTCTCGGCTATTATTATTTAAACTGACTGTGACTGTACATATAAACGAGAATACAATTTTACATAGGCTAACCAACTGACTCTGCAATGTTACCGCATTGACCTTGCATATGGTTTGTACATAGGGGTTTGTACCATAGATCAGGGTTGCCAGGTCCCAGAAATATTTCAAGCCCAATGACAACTCAAAACCCGCCCAAATGGAATGAAAACTAGCCCAATTTTATATATATATATATACATATATATATATATATACAGTGGCGTCATGCCCATTCAAAGTGAGGGGGCACGTGCCCCCTCAGATTTTTCCTCCCTGATAATTTTTTTTTAAATTCTTTTAAAATTTCTTTTAATTTTTTTCCTGATTCCTTTATTCCTATTATGCTCCATAATTACCAGAGCCTATAACGACTCAAATATATTCTTTTTCTTGATGTGTGATAATAAATCGGTCAGCATTAGCCCGCCCGTTTTTCCTAATATGGTGTCTCTGTGTATCAAATCTACGCGCGTAGAGCAAAGCTTTAGAATCTTTGCTGTGTATGTTCCGGCGGTACAAGCAGCTCGCACGTTGAACTGGCGAGTGGTAAGTTGGAAATGCAACAAATCGGCATTGAATTAGTTATCGGATGATATTAAAAGGTAGTGGGATTATTTATGGTTGACCTGGACATTTTAACTTGATCAAAAGTTATGGAATTGATATTAGCTGCGAATTCAGAGCATTAACAATGTTATGCAGTGTAACGTTATCAATAGCTAGCCTAGTGTAACCGTAAACTAGTTGGCTAACGTTACTGCCTGCCATACAAAACTCTTGCAACTTGCTCTCTCCCTGTCTCCCACCCTCGCACATATTATTAATCAAAATAAATCGACACGGTGGTAAAAGGTCGGAAGATGAAAGTTTAATGTGGAGCATTCTGTGTTTTTCCCCCTTATTTACCGCTGGGTGTGAATTGTGCTAAATAAGTTGCCTTATCTTCTCTGAGAAGCGTTCTGGACATTCAGTTGACATAAACATGACATCCATGTCCTAACAGCTAATCACACAACGCGCATAACACGTCCAATTCGCGAACTAATGACTCATTTGAACCGATTCATTTTAATGAATGGTTAAAACAACTGATCTTTCCAACAGTGAACTCGGGAGACGTCTGAATCGGTGTATAACTAATCAGTAACACTTTACAATAATGTTCTGTTTATTACTTGATTACATAAAAAGTACAGTTTGCTTAGGCTACTCAAGCTTAAGATTTAAAAAAAAAAAAAAGCACATGACTACATTTTTCCACAAAATGCTATCAAGAATCAATAAGAGAATCGTTAAAGAATCTGATTCTGATTCTAAAGAATCGGATCGATAAACAGAACGTCATTGGCATTATTATTGTTAAAATCTTATCAATTCCATCCATATGGTAAGACAGTAAAATTATAATCTAATGTTAAAGAACATACATGTTTTTTAATAGTTTTTTTGAGAGTTAAAAGATTAAAACATTTTGCTAACATGAGGTCTTTGTGTCACTGTCAGTCTTTTTACAACTAGGGTACGCAGATTAAGACCACTGTTCATCAGCATGCACTGATTTATCCCATGGCATGTAGAAAAGAAAAAAAAAAGGTGCGACAAAATCATATGCTCAAATAAACGGGGTAGTGTTAACCTTATTCAGCACTGAAATCTGTCAAACTTCTTTCAAAGTCCTTCATCACATATTGATATTAAAATAAATTAATTTCAGAGAACCACAAAGTCAGACCTTAGCCCCTTTATACTGTATACCTTTAATGTAAGATCGTTCTTAGGTCACATACCTATTTAAAATCATAACATAAAAACTGCAATGGTACTGTTTTTAAAAACATGTGTAGAAGGCCTAAGTGTACAGTAAGTGTGTGTGTAAATATGCTTTAATGAAGTAGACTTCAAAAGCTTTTGAATTTGAGCTTACAGTTCTTTCATCAACCTGTCTTTTACATAAACTTACAAAAAAAGATACTTTAACTTAGTCCTCAGATAGAGGAGGGTTGCTGCTAGCTCCATTAAGGTATTTCTGTCCCTCCCAAACTGCATTGAAATGGTATGTTTAGCAGCCAGAATTTAAAAAAATTTCAGGGGGAGAAACCCCCTGACCCCCCCTTACATGACCACTCATCAGGAAACAATTGCAACATCTCAGATTGTGCCCCCCCAGAATTTTGGCTTGCATGACGCCCCTGTATATATATATATATGTATTTACATATAAATATATGTGTGTATATATATGTATATATTTTCCCTCTATATACAGGTGAAACTTGAAAAATTTGAATATCATGAAAAGTTTCACCTTTTAATTTGAATTACTGAAATACATGAACTTTTGCACGATATTCTAATTTTTCGAGTTTCACCTGTTTAAATAAAAGTTAACCTGGTTATTTGAAGAAAAACAATATATATATATATATATATATATATATATATATATGTATATATATATATAGATAGATAGATAGATACATAGATACATAGATACATAGATATATGTGTGTGTGTTAAGTTTAAAGTTTTGACCTTTTGTCTCACCCAAAATCTTAATATCACACACTGAAACACAATCTCATACAATAAAGGTCAAGAACTTGTCCTCTCTGATATTTTCTGACCCTAGTAGTCACTAAATGATCAACAGTTGAAGTGCTTGAGTGACAAGCAACGTGGGCAGCCAGCCTCCTCTTTCACAGCAACATTAGTTCTTAGAAAGCAACTTTGCCTGTGTCAAATAAATGTTTTTTTTTAATGTTATTCACTCACAGCATAAGCTACTAGATCACTGTGGTGAACTCTGATTTCACATTTGCAATATTTGCAGAACGTTTTTCTATCATCATTTGGAACACTTCGAAGGTGATGTGATGATGCTAGATTTGTGATGTTACGTCAAAAACACATGAGACCCGTCCACTCGCCCGCACATAGCGCCCAGAGCCATGTTAGCGCCCGCCACAGTCAGTGGTTGTTGCCAAATATTCATTCCCGGGGATCAACAATACCCACTAATAAGTGGTTCCCTTTTAATTTTTTCTTTGTCTACAATTTAATTATTATTATTTTTGTGGCCGCAATACATAATAAATATAGCCCAAAAAACCGCAACCCGCAACTCCATAATTTTTCCCGCAACTCTTTTTTTAAAATAGCCCAATTGTGCGGGAAAACCGCCACCCTGGCAACATTGCCATAGATAGACAGTGCATAAGGTTTGCATTGACCTTACCAAAATGGCGGTGGCTTGTGACATCGTCTGCAACATCCGTCTGCGTCACATCCGACTCCGAACGCTCAAGCTCAAAAACATGGCGTTGCTTCTAAGGTCAGTACGAACATGTTATTTTTAAAACTTGTGACGATTTTGCTTTATCATTTGTTTTAAGATTAAATTAATTGTTGTGATGGTCATTTTGCTGGTCATATCGGCTGGCAGTTTGACAGTCCGGATATTGAGGGTTTGCTGATGTTTACGTATTTTACATGTAACAACACTGGGTTGTCTGTACTGTCCTTTGCTCTGATATAATCTTTATAGCCATGTATATGCTACAGTAGGGTGACCATATTTTGATTACCGAAAACCAGGACACTCGGCCTGGCAAACAGATACTCAAAGATGCCTTATTAATTTCAATACATTTAAAGTAGGCTATGCCTCCTCTGTTTTATATGGATAGAAAATGGTTATATTACAAAACACACATTCAGATAGGCTTCTCAGAGGTTACTCAACGTGTTTTATTATGACAGTTTTCAAAAATAATAATAGAAATAATGTCTCTTCAGTATTGGGTAATAAATCTATAAATGGATACCTCCAAATTGAACAAAAATAGCTCACAAACTTACTTATATTTATATCTTTAGTTTTCAAGTTCCTCCTTATCCTGTTTTTCTTTCTCATCCTCGTTTGTTTGCCCATCTATATTTTGCTGTAGAGCTGATCTTTCCCAGCAGTTTTTTGAAAACCATGACATTTTCATCACTTTACAAAAAACAGCCAGGACAGGACATGTCCTGGGAACCCTATGCACCCTATACAGTTTTGTGTGTGTGTGTTTTTTTTTAATTCTCAGTCCGTGTGCTTTTCTTTCAGCCTCTAGTTACTTTAATAATAATAACAATAGCAATCATTTATTCCGATGGTTTTGTTCTTACTGTCTGCAAGGTCCTTGCCACCAGTCCTGTACATCAAATCATGTATGATAATTAAACATTAAAAGTATAGTTCACCCAAAAAGAAATTCATACAGGTTTGGAACAACCTGAGAGTGAGTAAATGATGACTGAATTTTCATTTATGGATATCCCTTTTAACTTTGAGTAGTGCATTGTGTGCCACATTATTTGTCATGTTCATATGTTCATATCTCCAGTTCTGTCCCATCATTCTGCATTGGATCAGACATTGTGACATGCTTTTCATTAGTAGATTACTGAGTTTGATCAGATTAACCTAATTAGTTGTTCATTATTATGCCTAGGTGAATTGTATAACCATATGCCAGGTCTGTGCTGTTGTTGAGTTTACAGCATTACAGTTACCAACATGTTTTTGATTGCAGCCCCTGTTTTATAATGTACAGAATACCCAGCCGCTTTAACTGTATGCAAATGTGTGTTTGTACTTAAAATGGTTTTATGCTTGTGCCTGAAATTTATGGGGGTTTTCTATTTTTAAGGACGGTGGCCCGGCAGGGCCTGTGTTCGTCACGGTCACAGTTTGGCATTCTCTACAGACAGTGAGTATTTTTGTGTTTTCCTATAATTTGTTTTAAAAACTTACTGCTTCCATAAGATATACTCTAAATAGATGGCGAATTATTCACCCGACGAATATGAAGGAATGAAGTGCTTGAGCTAGGTTTTTGGTAAAAATATTGAAAGTATGGGGCCCTTCTTCCCTTGTAGTTAGTCACCATTATATTTTAGTAAACAGATATAATTCATGCATTTTCATTAGATTTCACAAACGTAATCCTATCGACCAGCTCACTTAGCACGGTCTTCGTGGTTCGACTGGTCGAGACTGTTTTCCAAAGAGGGCTTCTGCCTGTAAACCTGAAGTGTACTGTCTATTTTTTTTAAGTATCTTCTTATTAAACTGTCTGGACACTTACAAAGTTCTCATGTAGGGACCCTCATTATTGTTAGTGTGGGGCTATTTTGAGCCTTGTTAGTGTTGTCTTTAGTTTTTACATACTCTATGTCCTAGCGTTATAAGTTTAATCAGTGGTTCGAGCTAAAACTGGGTACATTCGATTAGCATGAAAACACATCCCAGAGAACAATCGACTCGTTATGTGTTATTAACCCCTAGGTTCGTTTTGCGCCAGAATGCTCCTTTTAGCTGTAAATCTCCCTTCTACTATGTTTTCCAGTGCTGTTCCAATGGGAACCACAGCTAAAGAGGAAATGAACAAGTTTTGGACAAAAAACACTCGACTCAACCGACCTGTTTCACCACATATAAGCATCTACCGGTGAGTGTTACCACATCTGCTTGTGGATCATACAATTCACTGGATTGTTTGTTTGAGGATTTTGGTTTTAAAGAATGTGGTGATGAGTAATGAATGAAATGAACTAACTGTCCTTAAAAAGATGATATTTTTAATGGCTTTGTTGTTCACAGGTGGTCTGTCCCCATGTTGTTGTCAATCTCACACAGAGGAACAGGCGTGGGACTAAGTTCAGGTAGCTTGAATATATTCTTGGCTTTTGATGATGCCTCGAAGAGACCATTCAGAGAACAATAACTATTATAGGGGCAGTCGTGGCTTAATGGTTAGAGAGTCAGACTGGTAACCCAAAGGTTGTGGGTTTGATTCTCAATAGAAAATGTCCACGGTTTCCGAGTATGGGTTACCATACTTTAGGGTTGGGTGCTATACCAGTATGAAAGTGACCACTGGTATTATGTTGTACCATGATATGCGATACTTTTGCGATACCGAGAATACCGTTAGATATTCATAAATTCTGATTTTGCAGTTATATTGTTTTGTTAAATTTAGTACTCTTTACAACTTTTAACACTACTATAATGACGATACAAAATCGAGGCTGAACTTAACCTTTTCCTCTTGTGTCCAACTCGCGTCATGCCCAGGCATTAATAATCAAACACGGAGCATGGTAACATTGTTTGCCACCACACACAGACTAATTCGTGGCGGTGCTCCACAGAATCCAGCGGCCTCCACATAATGCGTTATTATTATTTTATTTTACGCTATTTAAAACACGCAGTTTATTCGTTCGAATTATTAATGAAGGAATTATTTGACCCCCGCACTTTTTGAGAAAAAACAGATTTTTCAGGTCTATGTCCAATCAAATCCCTCACGTTTTTCTAGTTATAGGGTTAAATACATATTTTGCCTGTAATTTAACTAAGGTGTACTATAATGTGATTGAAAGTTTTTTTCTTATATTGCAATATAATATCGATATTGTCCGGACAGTGAAAAATATTGTGATAAGACTTTTTGCTCATATCGCCCACCCTCACTTTCACTTTCTTTCACACAACTGTATTAGCGATAACATTGTTGTTATGTCCTCTGATGTTTTAAATGCTTGAGCTCTTTAAGGTTGGGTGGATTTTGATTGGCTGTTGTTAATTTTTTAATCGCTCATCAGCTGGGAAAAAAAAAATCCCTCTAAAAGTGATTCCGACCATATCATGTTCCTCTGTGTCGTTATTATAGCTATGGTGTGGAATTCCCTATTCTCAAAGAATTAGAACAAGTATTAAAATGTTATGATTATAGTTATCATCTTTGGTGCGAACGACCTTTAATTCTAGGTCCACATCGTAGCTATAATGATAAAGACACAGAGAAACAAAATAGATGGAATCACTTTCAGAAGCTAGTGAACGATAGCAACATGACAGCCAATCAGAATCCACCCAACATTAAAGAGCTCCAGATACGAATGACTGAACGTATCATACACTGCCAAATATAATTATCGTTCTTGCTGACTTTTAAAGAATCATTTTGCATCATGACTAAATGATTGCATATTGATATTAAATAATGTTGTTGATCTTTTTGTCTCAGGAATCTCTGCGTTTGCACTTGCCGCATTGGTTTTACCAGAGAGTTACCCGTATTACCTTGATCTGATTCACTCCATGTCCTTTGGGCCCCAGTTCCTTGCTTTCACCAAATTTGCTCTGGCTTTCCCAGTGGCTTTCCACACCTTCAATGGCGTCCGTCATCTGGTATACACACACACACACACATACACACATAAATGAAGGAAGTATACAGACTCTCTCTGATAATGAGAGTGATCTGGCTCTGATAATGATTCATGACAGCGTAACCAGTGTATGTGACCAAATATGTGATCAAGTGTGAAATTAAGACTTTAAGTTTGGGGTCAGTGAGAATTTTCTTTGAAAGAAATTAATACTTTCATTCAGCAAGGATGCATTGAATTGATCAAAAGTGACAGTAAAGACATTTATAATCGTACAAGTGATTTTGCTTTTGCAAATAAATGATGTCAAAATTTAATGTTCTATTCATCAAAAAATCCTGCAAAAAATGTCACGGTTTCTGTAATAAGCAGCACAGTTGTTTTCAACATTGATAATTATAAGAAATGTGTTTTTGAACCCTAAATCAGCATATTAGAATGATTTCTGAAGGATCAGGTGACACTGAAGACTGGAGTAATGATGGAGAAAATTATTTGTCATCACAGGAATAAATTACATTTAAAGATGTATTCAAATAGAAAAAATTATTTTAAATTGTAATAATATTTCATAGTATTATTGTTTTTTCTATATTTTTGATCAAATAAATGCAGCATTGGTGAGCGTAATAGACTTTTTTTTATTGTTTTAATGTCTATTCAATGATTTACTCATTACTAGAATAATTACATTCTTTTTGGAGACTGTTCTCAACCAATATTAAGTAATTTCTTTTTCAGACAATTATGCAATTCATTCTTTTTTCACAAGTCCTAATGTATCAATCATGTTTTGATTCATATTTTTTCTGTCTATTTCTTTCAGATCTGGGATGTTGGGAAGGGTTTTAAGCTTCCTGAAGTCTATCGTTCTGGATATGTTGTCATTGCTCTGACTGTTCTTGCGTCAATTGGTCTTGCTGCCATGTAAATCCGTCGTCATGAGACACAAATGAAGAGGACGTGGAAGTAGAGAAAGTGGTGTTATTTTGTTTATCTGTCCTAAACGTGGTCTGCAAGGACCAAATTCATTAATATAAAATATATATATATACACACAAAAAAATATCCTCAGTGTTGTTTTTTTCTTCATGTTGAATCCCTTGCAGCTGAAGGCGTGACACATGGAACTTGGCATTTGCAATGAACCTTTTCAGCAATCGTATGAAAATATTCAGGAATGATCTTAGCATTTCCTAAACCATTTGCCTCGTTTAACTGTGTCACTGAAGTATTTCCACTTCCAGAAATGTTGACCTGGGCTTGATTTCACTTCAGTTTTGGGATAAAGAAACCACTTTGGGTAACAAAGGCCCTTAACAAATGAAACCTCTAGACTCAGGACAATCGAAGCTCCTAGCAGTTCTAGATTCTTATGCATTTATGTGATTTTCTCCCATTGTGACTCGTACGAAGCACCATAAAGTTTCTCTCCATTAGCATTTGCATCTGTAATGATACTATGTTTTAGGATAATGCATATTAAACATTTATATGCGCTGCCTTCTTGTGTCATGATGATGGTAATTATAATGTTTCATGGTAACCAATAATAAGAGAGTGTGATTAGAATCTTGTTAATAATTTAAATAAACCCAAATGTTGCTGGCTGCACAGGGTAAATTATTCTCCTCGAATCTTGTTCACCTGAATGATAATGTCAAGGATGGCTGTGGGCTTTTTCATTTAAATGGTAATGTCGTAAAAAGGATTGGTTTGGATTACAGGCTACACGCAATCACTACACTGAATGTTTATTGAAAAACTCCACCCTGTAGTCCTAAAGTACATGTTTACTCATCCTCATCGTTTCCATTTCCTTCTAAAACACTAAATCTGGAGAGTTATTTATCTGTTTCTGAAATTAGAAGGCATGTCCTTTAACTTGTGGTCAAGAGTAGACAAGTTGTGTTCAGTTTCAGCATTGCATCAGGTCGGTTTATTTGGTCTTTTCAGACTGTGGTCTATGGACCCCTGGGGTCCTCTGAAAATTTAATGAATTTTTAGGACGGTCTGTTATCATGTTACCATAAAATATTAGCTAAATGTTTGACAGGAATTTTAACACTTTTACCAAATTTCATATTAAATTTGATTTATAAAAACTGGTAAGAAATCTTGATAGTGATTGTGACTTCTTAAAAATATTGCTATAGGTTTTAACAATATAAATAAAGAAATATGCATTCTTGCTCTCTCATTCTATTTTTTTTTTTTTTTATGTGCGGAAAAATGTAATTGATCATTTCTCTTACATTTCAACTTTTGGCAGTAATCATTGTATCTTACAGATCTTTTCCTTTACACTGACTGTTGCCTTTATCTCCAGTGGGTTGGGTAGCAATATTCTCTGCTAAGTGCCTTTGCAACAATATTTACTTTGAGAAGTACCAAATTGAATTGAAAATGTATCTCTTCTGGAGAATGTTCAGATTCAACTACTCGGTGGAAAGACGAGATGTTTAATTTAACAATTGTTTTCCTTTTACCACAGTAGGCTAGCCTATACAGCCCAATTCTTCATAATATCGTCTTTTATATATATATATATATATATATATATATATATATATATATATATATCTTTCATATTTCATATTTTTCATTGTTATTGACGAAACAAAGCTTGAAAACACCTTATATAAAGTGATGCCCACGCGATTTCATTTGGCTAATTTTGCAACAAACAAATATCAGCCTACTATTTAAACATAATGATACATGTAGACAGGGTGCACAAAACGACGCTTTTCGTGTATGCTTAGCTTAGCCTATTAATTTCTCTTATGAATTCCGTTTATTCTGTTGTTCCAGGCTGTTAGGCTAGCTCGTGAAAGATTAGTGTTTGAGCTGTGGTAGTAGCCTATTCTGAAAGACATAGGCTAGTGGCCATATGGATTTTTATTGAACGTTGCTTTTGTAAGAACTATTTAAAAATAAACCATGATTATTTTGGTTTTGTAGGCTGAGGGCGGATGTCCGCTACAGACTCACGGCGTCAAGACGAGAGAGGAGCGCGCGCCCCCTAGCGGGACTTGACGAAATTACAGAACGAGCACATAACTGGTCCTGATGCTGCAGGATACCGTACTAATGCAGAATATGACCTCACTTTACGCTGCATCATGTGGCTCAGTCTCTGTGGCGCAATGGAATAGCGCGCTGGACTTCTAATCCAGAGGCTCCGGGTTCGAGTCCCGGCAGAGATGACGCCATCAGTGGATGATGGCTTTTTTTAATGCATAAATAGGTATAAGTGATGCTCATCCGTCACTTCATCGCAAAGGAAGCAATGCATGTTACATTTTTGTGAATGAACCGACTCTTTTATATGCGACGCAATAACACGTATTTTTTGTTATGATACACATTCCAACAATTACAATTTTAAAAGCCTTTCTTTGGCCTATTTCCATTTAAAAGAAAAACGTTTTACGAAGGAGAGAGATACTGTTTGGTAACTACAGTCAGCGTTTATCCTACATTTCTAATACAGTAAAATTCTCAATTTTTCATTTGTAATGCATTCATGTCCCCTTTGCCCTCTCAAATCAGTTCAGCTGTAATATACTTGTATTTGGTCTAGGCAATAAAGTCTCATAACGTGAAGAGAATTATCCTGCATTGCACTGGGGAGAGAAAGAGAGAAAGGTGGAGAGAGAATGAGAGCCTGCCAGAGAGATGGAGAGAGACATCAGTGTCCTATTGATTTTCCAGCGAACTGTGTGATTGGCTCTTCCTGGTCATTATGGGATAGAAATAGAGAGGTACTCACTTCTGTACTGCCTGATCAAACACTACAGGAAACCCTCTTTCAGTAAACCCTCCTTCACTATGTCATGCATTTATTTGAATGGAAGGTGTGAATGTTCAATAGTTTCCCAGTCATTCATTTATATCTACTTTGAGCTCATTTTCATCCTCTCATGTGATTCAATTTCACCAGCATCACCCTGCGCTGAAACTCTTTCCGCAATTTTGCAATTCATGTGTGATTTCGGCCCATACTGCCTTGTACACCTTTTTTCTTTCTTCTCTCCACCACAGGCAATTCATCTGAGAAAGTGAGGGGGAGCGACGACGAGGGCTCATTTTAATGCAGTAGCTATTTGATTTTAGATGCTCAGCAAGTCATTAAACTGATAATTGAGACGTTCTGCTCATATCCCTGTCTTCCTGGCTGTCTTCCTCGCACTCCCGGGTCGGTCGGAAACTAGGGTGTTGGTTTCTGTGCTTCTGGACAGTCGCACGTCGAAGAAAAAGGATTGCGCAGGTCACGGGCGAGCGCGCTCGACCGCGTGGACTGTCACAGCTCTGCGGAGAATGACGTCAGCATCTCTATAAAATGATGAAATGGGCATGAGCTCTGTTTCCAAACACTAGAAACTGAAGGTGCGCCGTATGGCACTGCACAGACTGAAATATTGTTGTGTAAATATCTCCACAATCCGATAGCCTGAACTAATTCACTGTGGGATGATGTAACTTGCGCTTTCTGGGAATCGTTGTGCCGAAATGCTCGCAGTAGCACAGTCTCCTGACCGGTAGATGTAACTACTGTCTCATCCCTATCAGTGATGAAGACTGTGTTGACGTCCGTGCACAAACTGGGATGGTGATAACACTACAAACATAGACTGTATATTTTATTTACCGTATAAAGAGATTACCTTTCCACTGTCTAATCTGTGTCATGCTTTATTCACTCCGTGAAATGAATAAAGGCCGACAGACTGTGGGCTGGTGATGACATTAAACACAAGTATAGTTATTTGGGCCGGAAGTGTCCCGCCCCGAGGCTCCGGTTGGCTGCTCGAGCCACCGCCGCCACGGTGACCGAGTCGTTGCTCTCTCGGGGTATCTGCCTCTCGTGCAGTCGTCCATGTTTAACCCCGTGCGTCCCCCACACCGCACAGCGAGTAATCCGCGTGCAGAACTAATCCTTAAATCCTCTCGCGAGTCGCAACGCCCTCCCCTCCTCCTCCCATCCTCTCCTCTCGCGCGGGCCTCCCGAGCAGCCGGCGGGGTCTCCAGAGCCCGGCTCGCGCGCGCGAGGACTCTATTCACAAGACCACACCTCGCGCCGCCACTAGACTAGGGGAAACATCCTCACGAAAACATTCCACCCCGAAATAAAAAACAAACACACGCACACACACACACACACACACACACACACACACACACACACACACACACACACACACACACACACACACACACACACACACACACACACACACACACACACACACACACAAAATATATTGTGACATTATTTTAACTGTAGCCTAGTTGTTACAGTTGTTTTTGTAATCATCCAATAAATCAGACATAGCTACTTTCTTTTGATTAGCTATAGAGTTAACTATTTGGGACAGCCATTCATTCATTCATTCATTCATTCATTCATTCATTCATTCATTCATTCATTCATTCATTCATTCATTCATTCATTTTCTACTTGGTTGTAGCCTATTAGGCTATAGTGCGCTTTCTGAGGACTAGCCAACAACGCTGTTGTTCAAATAGACTCCGTATTTTTTTTCATCAAAAAGCTACCTTTTTAATGCATTGTTTGCATATCTACAAATAATTTCTAATATGTTTACAATTCACATTTTATACTAAAGACACTAAATATGTAAAAAAAAAATTGTGACTATTTAGATCACAAACAAATTTGCATGGGCCTACATGATCGGCTGCCTGTAAAATATTTTCATGATTTGTAAGGCTATCATAACTTTGTTCTTTTCTCAAATCAACTGGGATAATTAATGTGGTTCAGATAACATCATATTTTGAGTTTCTGTTGATTAAACATCAACTCAAATTTAAGTACAATGAACTCAAAATTGTAATGCAACATACTTACTTTTTTAAAGATAAACCAACAATCATTTTTAGGCTAATTATTATTAATGTATAGGCTACTCAATATCGGTATTTATTGTTTTAGTCTAATGTTCAGTAAAACAAACAATCTTTTTACTTCTGACATACATCAATAACAGCAGTAAGAATAATAATAATCTATCTCAGGCAGTATGGTCTAGCCCTGTTATCCAAATGGTACGGCCAAATCGTATTAAAATACCCACCCCTCCCCCTCCACCCCCCGCGCCTCCCTCCTTCTCTCTCCCTCCCTTTCTCCGTTCTTTCAGACAGACTGTTTTGCTGCAGTGAACGGTAGCCGTGGAGAGAGGAAAAGGCAAGAAAAACAAGAAGACAGCGGAGGGCGGAACGAGAACCAAGACAGACAGATCCACTGGGACCTTAGCGTGAGTGCCAGCAGACATAGAAGGGTCCAACACTCCAGAACCAACGGAGCCAACAGGCATCACGAGGAGCGCTTATATCGGTGCGTATTATAATCTGCCCTCCTTTTGAGCTCACAGACACGCAGGGGTATTATTGCAGTTGGCGTCCTGGCGCTTGTAGAGATGGGGGGGAGACACCTGTCAGGTTTGTAAATAGGGGAACGCTTGTGCTCTGGAATGCGCCTGCATCCGCGCGCGTCTCTTCTGACGGGCGCACCGGGCAGAATACCATTCAAAGAGCTCGGAGGTGTTAAACTATGAGCAAAGGGAAGGGGGCCGATGTTAAAGCGTGCTCAGGCTTACTGTAAATGCGCCGATGGTTGCTTTGCCCCCTCGCGTTTCCCCTCCCAATCACGGGCTGCTTTAGCAGCATCCCTGCCGCTCCTTCTGCATTCAGCTCGGACTGTGCACCTGCTACTGTTTTCCGTGGTTCGGTGGGGCGTCCCGGTTGCGCAGATGAGAGCGGGACTGGTTCTCAGCGGGGGGGACTGAGAGAGAGAGAGAGAGAGAGAGAGAGAGAGAGAGAGAGAGAGAGAGAGAGAGAGAGAGAGAGAGAGAGAGAGAGAGAGAGAGAGGGAAATAAAGAGAAGTGCGAGAAAAGAACCGATGAGTGAGAGAGGCGGCGTAGGGTGGCTCCTTTTCGGGTCGGGTGCCCTGGAATTGCAGCAGGTATCATCACCTCATCCAGTCGCGATGAGGCGAGATTTCGCTGCTTGCGCTGAACATCCCCCACCACACACACAGTTTGACAGCCACCGTCCGTCCAAGCCTCCCTCTATAGTTGCTCAACAAAACAGAGCATCTCTACCCGATCCTCAGGCAACGCTATGACTTGCACAGTTTACAAAAGCTCACTAAAGGGGAGAGCAATAGGCAACCAAACGACCTGGACTATTGTGTGAGTGCGCGCGCGCGCGCGGTTGTGGCCACGCTCGCGCTTAATTCTCAACGGGCGACAGGTGCACCTTCCTCTCGCGCGCAGCAGCAGTCAGAGTAGGAGAATAATGAGAGCGGTGTTGAAGGCTACTGGGAGGATTTCAGGGGCAACACTCTACAAATCTTAATTCTTGTCAGGCATGCACTCGCACTTTTACGTAGCAATTGCCGATTCAGAGTCGTTTTCTGAGTTTCTGAGAGGCGAAGGGAATGTTTTCGATCACTGCGTCACATCACACACAGCGAATGGGCACGAGACGATTAATGAAAGCACTGGGGCAGCGCGTGAGTGAAGTGTGTGTGCTCAGCATCTATGCGACCAGCTCTGTCTGTTAATGAGTGTGTATGTGTGTTGTCCTTTCTTCCAGTCAGCGCTTCGGTGAGCTTCTCCGCTTCTCCTGGTCTCGAGAGAGAGAGGACTATTGAGTTTAACGTACTGGACTGATGAGCGGGATGCGCGTGCGTCAGAGTATGACATTCCCGTCATTCCAGCGAGCCGCTCTTAGGGCTCTCGCGGCCTTGACGATGATTCTCGCGACCTCCGTTCGGAGCAACTACGTTTTTGGTAAGAAACCCCCCTCTCTACACGCACTCTGCTCCTCCCTCTTGTTTTCAATGTTTTCTGTGGGAATCACAGAGCCGTTAATAAGCTCGTGGGGCAAAGAGGAACCTCCTCCCCCTCTTCTCAGCTCCAACGGAATTTTTTGCTGTGTCCTGTTATTTTGGGAACAATAGCGCACATACCATCTATCTATCTATCTATCTATCTATCTATCTATCTATCTATCTATCTATCTATCTATCTATCTATCTATCTATCTATCTATCTATCTATCTATCTATCTATCTATCTATCTATCTATCTATCTATCTATCTATCTATCTATCTATCTATCTATCTATCTATCTAATCTATCTATCTCGAAGGTTCAAAAACTGTGCTTTTGCAGCAATGCCATATAGGAGAACCATATTTGTCTCCTCAAAGAACCTTTCAGAGATTAAGGACCATTTTCTAAACCAAAAATCTAAAGAAACTTTTTCCACTTTACCAATAGATGCCAATAAAGAACCTCTATTGTTAGCATATAGAGCGTATACACATTACACAATGCTAGCAGACAATTTCAATGAAGTTGGATCTTCTTTTTATTATAAAATATTTTCATTATAAAGTGTTTTAATGAACCTGGAAGGATTGCAGTTGGAAATGTTTGATGCTTTTAATATGAATACACCACAAATATAGGACAGATCTATCTATCCTCAAGCACATGTGCAACACATTACACAACTTACTGAGCTGGACTGAATCAGTCTTCTGGCTTGTGTAGGTGTGTGTGGCTATTACATTAGTCATATGGAGTTTAGGACTAAACAGCATTTTTATCAAACCTTTTCATTATAAAATCCTTTTTCATTATAAGGTTTAGTAAGGAATGCAGCTTTAGTTGAAATGTCTGCCTCATTTTCAGTGTTTCAGCAGACTGATGAGTGGAGATCATAACTGCTTTTAATTTTTAGTTAGGGTGCATAAGTGTACATTACACAACCACAATGAGTTGTACGGAATTAGTCTACAGGCTTGTGTAGGTGTATTGTTACTCTCTAGAGTACTCTCTGAACAGATCTTTATCAAGTCGGATTGAAAATATGGATGACTATTCATGAATGATGATTGTGAAGTGATAGAGTTTTACTTTTCATCATAAAGTGTGAACCGGAGATTTGTGTTGAGATGTGAGATGTGGTGTCATTTTCTTTCTTTCTTTCTTTCTTTCTTTCTTTCTTTCTTTCTTTCTTTCTTTCTTTCTTTCTTTCTTTCTTTCTTTCTTTCTTTCTTTCTTTCTTTCTCTCTTTCTCTCTTTCTTTCTTTCTTTCTTTCTTTCTTTCTTTCTTTCTTTCTTCTTTCTTTCTTTCTTTCTTTCTTTCTTTCTTTCTTTCTTTCTTTCTTTCTTTCTTTCTTTCTTTCTATTGATCCTGATCTTATCCTTTCTTTCTCACACACAGACAAACCCTTAAACTCTTGTCAGCTGTTTTTGCTGCTCACTGCATTATTCATTATTGTGTTTTTTTTTGTGCTTTTGCATATCCACTAACCTTATGCATCCTTAATGCAGATGTGAGCGTATGAGTGTGTGCAGGCTTTTTGCATATATACTTTGGTTTATGTGCCGTAATGGAGCGGGTTGTTTGAGAGGATCTATGGGTTGCATATATTGGTGCATGTTGAATGTTGGCTGTGAAGTGGGAAACTATATGTTTTGCAAGTTTGTGTGTTCTGTATGGTGTGGTCTGTGACTGTAAGAGTTACATTAAATTACATGTGATGCCTGTTCCACTGGCTTTTGGAAACCTTTCCTCCGCTTACATAACCAATCAGTGTTGTGCAAAGTCGTCCACCCACCTTTTATTTCAAATTTCTGTTCTTTTGAACTAGTAGGCAGCACACAACTGTTCTCAACATTGATATTCACGAGTTCACACGTACATACAATTAGAGTGGATAAGGTTTAATGCGTATTTGGCGTGCTGTCCGGGGGGAGGGCTCCGAGCTCAGAGTTTGGCCCAAACCCAAAGTACTCCCCCCTATGTAAGTGTTTAGGACTAGAAGTGTGGAGAAGGGGCAGTGGGGGGATGCTGCTAAGCTATCAATGAGTGAGGTGAGATTGCTGAATATACACCTCTTATCATTAATTGCTCGTGTTAATTAACTGAATATGCTCCTCCCGAGCTTTGTTAATAAAACACCATATAATAAGAAGTGTTTCTAATTTTTTAATCAGAACTTCAGTGATAATTTGAATTAAGACAGAAATGATACTTTGTGGTTGAAAAGCCCTTTAGTAAAGCTGTTTCTTACCTATACTATACATAACAACTGCTCTCTCTGGGTCAGTAACAGTGCCAGGCATTGTTAACCAAATCGTTGTCATTTAGGAATAGGATTATGTGGGTGTTTAAATCAAGATCCCAATCTTTTAATGATTAATTGTGTAGCTTTAATGATACTGCATGTGATGTCTAATTTTGATTTACTGAAACGAGCTCTGGCTCATAAGACCTGAATGTTGGGTAGAAGTTTCCTGCAGAGCTCATGGGCTTGAGGGCTCGGCAAAAGTGCGGATCGAGGACGCATATCAACCGCAAAAGCTGCAAGCTTTTTGACTGTGTCCTGTTAGGTCGCGTATCTCAGCTGCCACGCCTTCAATCTCTGTCAAAGGACGTCTTGATTTTTTGAAGGCAGCCTTCGTTTCATGTCCTTCATTTGGCCTGTTTTGAAGGAAGCATCAAGTGTATCCTTCACGTCCTTCAATCACCCAAAATTCTTTTGCACATATTCCAAGTATCTCTTAAAACACATATTTATTTATTTTAAAGTTTTGGAAACAATGAGACAGATGATTCAGACATCACCCACGTAATCTTATTCCTAAATGACAATGGTTCTGCTATGTCTATCAATCCTTTTACAAGTACGATCACAGCAAACATTCAAATCTGCGTTGGCGTAGCAATGAAGTCCCCCTGTGGTAAAAATCAAGTTTTTAATGTTGTTTATGTCTATGTGGTGTTTTTTAATGTGCCTTAAGACAGACCATGTTCAAATGCTGAGTATTTTCTCTTTAAAACTGCAGTCCAAAGACAGTCTCAAAAATGTGGTTTGAAATCGCTGGTGTTTCTGGCGTCACAAACAAAGTGTGATCATCAATTAGTGAATCTCAAACAATGTGTGATCGTCAATGAGAGAATCTCTGAGCTGGCGTAAATGAGTGGAGGTGGGGCTAATTTGCATTTTTATAGATCCATATATACTAAATGAGGCAAGGGTGTGGAGTTGCATTCATTTTAAGGCGTGAAGAATTTTGTTTCAAGGATTAAACGTTTAATTATGTCATTTTGGTGATCAAAGATGAGGTTTTAAGGGATACAATTATTGCCTACAGGGGGACTATAAAACTTGTATAGCATTAAAATTCGGTTCACCGGGTTTCATGACGTAATGACTATTTTGATCAATTTTTACCTTTGACGAAATTCTGGCAGTGTCAGAAGTTTTGAGGCGCCGTCCTGCAGTGGGACTTCTCCTTCGACCACCCCCAAATCAAAAACCAATAGTAGAGCAGAACCTGATGATGCAGTTAGTTAGACAACGACAAACCACTACTTGCTCACTGATCTAAATAAATGACATTTATATGGATCCGTGCTATCGCTCCAGACACACACACATCTTTGTTTTGGTTTTTTTCGAGAAAAGCCACTATCAAAATTAACGCTAGAGATTGTTTTTGTTTGCTAGACATCATTTCAATCCCGCATGTAAATGCGGCTCATCACTGAATGTGTCATGGGTTGATGGTGTAACTCCAGATGAGTCTTCTTGAGTGTGTCCGTTTTTAATGTGTCTTGACTGCTGTACAAGTCTGACATTAAAGACAACTGAGATCCTACAGTGTGACATGGCTTACAGCGGGGATCATGTTTATGTGTCTAACAGTCGTAAAGGACTAATACAGATCGTACAGTGCATTGATCCACAAGACCCCAAGAAGTGTGGCATTTGGGACAGGGCCTAAACTGGTCATGCTGCCTAATTTTGATTCAGTCACTGAAAAGAGTCGAATCTGCATAGGCCTACACTTAACATGCTGTGTTTTTTTTCACGATACACTGTTACACCTCATTCAATACAGTCTGCAAACCCACATTCACAACTGAGGTCTCGTGGACTTACAATGGCTGCCTATGAAATGTGCGTCTGTCCCTTTTGTAGGATGAGACTGGTGTTTTTGAAACAAGAATAGCATGGTTATCATGATATAGTTTAGGCTATAATTTTATCAGGTCTTCACTCATAGTTTCTTGATTAGGCTGTAAGTGTGTGTGAAAGAGTGTTCAGATCAGTCCAGTCACATTCTCTGATGTATTGGCTACATATTTGAATTTGGCTGTGTGTGTGAGAGAGACAACTTTTCAGGTTGGTCTCTATGTGTGTGAGGGATATATCCAGTTCATCGCATGTGTTCGTGGAGTTTTAACCTCTGGTCTCTGATGTCTGTGTGAGTGTGTGTGCTTGTGTTGCTTATGTGGTCTCTGATGTGCGTGTGTGACTTGTAGGACAGATCACCCGTAGCCTCCGATATGTGTGCTACATCCTCTGTGACATGTTTGCGAGCAGCTCAACATGTGGTGGAAGCATCTGGATATCCTCTATAACCTGCTTGATCAATTCTGAAAGGTCATTTTAAAGAGGACAGCACAGCTCTGGGGCTCATTTCATTGGGCTTAACAACTGTGCATCACAGATTCATCAAAAGAGACACTGCAAGGGGAAATGAGCCTTTTTTTTTTGTTTGTTGCATGGCTGCTGGCGGTGTGTTGAAGCATGTTGTTGTGTCCCTCCACTGACCTGAGACATTTTGATGGCTATTTGTGTTTCTAGTGCACATTTGGGCTGAGTGATTTATGCAGTCTTGCAGTGGAAAACCTCAGTGATGCTGACATATGTGCATGTTTGTGAAAGCATGTCAGGATTAAAGTGGTATTATGTGTGTGTGTGTT